TGCTGATTGTTTAAAAGAAAACTGCACACAAGACTCTTCATTGACTCTACAGAAGTAGGTACAAATTCAGGGCATTGTTTCATGTCTTTGTAAACCCCTTGATAACTTAATGTAGGGGTCCCCAACCCAGTGTCTGTGGATACTACGGCGCCCTCTGACACCTTTCCTGGTGCCCGCCAAGTGGGCAGGGAAAGGTGAGGCTTTTGCCTGCATGGCTTCTGATTGGTCACTGGAGATTTAATTGGCTGTGATGACTTTTTAAAACGTTGCTTTGGCAGCAGCTGTCACCACAACACAAGGATCTTCACTGTCTGACTAAAAGTAAGTGATAGCAGCCATTTTGTGGGTGACTCCTCCACCTGCAGCAACCATTTTATGGCAGCTGTTCTGAGGCCGCGCCCACCACTCTATGTCAGAATTCCAAAGATGCCCGGCAGCCTCAAAAAGACTGGGGAAGCCCTGACTTAATGCATTTACAGGCTGAGAAGGAATGCAGTAGCCCTACAGCCACTGTGGTGGTGTAGTGGTCACAGTGACAGACGAACACTGGGGAAACTGAGGTTAAAATCCTCGTGCAGCTGTTGGGGGACACTGGACCAATTGGATCAATCAATCAATCAATACTGAGCCTAACTCGCTGCACTGGCTTGTTGTGAGTCTAAAATGGGGGAAGAGGGAAACCACATGGGCCACCTGGAAGAAGGATAAAAAGTAACGGAGAAGAAACCATGCAAAGCCATACAGTCGCAGGATTTAACACGGTACGATTCCTGGAGTCAGGAAATGGTGGCACTTCGACCCAGGTCTTCCAATAGAACATAAGAACATAAGAGGCGCCAATGTTGGATCAGGCCAAAGGCCCATCTAGTCCAACACTCTGTCACACAGTGGTCAAAAATACCAGGTGCCATCAGGAGGTCCACCAGTGGGGCCAGGACATTAGAAGCCCTCCCACTGTTGACCCCCCCCCAGCACCAAGAAGACAGAGCATCACTTGCCCCAGAGCCCCTATCTGTACCTTGTGGCTAATAGCCACTGATGGACCTCTGCTCCATATGCTTATCTAATTCCCTTTTGAAGCCGTCCATGCTTGTAGCCGCCACCACATCCTGCGGCAATGAATTCCATGTGTTAATCACTCTTGGGTGATAGAAGGCTCAGCCATTCATCCAGCACAGAATGAGAAGAGTTCAGCCTTCTCCATACTTCTCTGTCATTGCAAGGATCTTCCAGACCTGGAGTGGCTCCCCGCTGCGGCCTTCCTATTAACTGTACATAATCCTGGCCAAACAGAGATATCCTTGCCAATTAAAAAAAATAAATAAATCCTACAAAGTGTTCTTTTTTCGTTCTGACTCATAGCTTCCACCCACAATTTAATTCACTGCTACCAACCCGCTATTATTGTACATTGGGGGGAGAGGTGTTTCCCGCCGCAAAGACTGAAAGATTGCTTATTTGCTCAGGGAGCAGATGGCCTTGGTGAAGGCACAGACTTGTGGAAAATGTCACCATTCTCTGTTTGCTTTCTGATAGTCTTGCATTTAAAGCCAACCTGGAAAAAAATATTTTAGAAGTGGAGACAGAAAAGGAAAGCGGGAGGAAACAGTTTTTCTTCCTCTCCATAATGTACCAAATCATTTTTTTTTCAACTGCTGCTCACAACTGGAAAAACGATAACCAGAATGAGAGGGTGACACCAGCCCGCAATATAGCCAAGGCTGCATTCAGATTTCGTTGCGGTGTTTCAGCACAAACACAGCTGGTTCGCGGGGCCTAGGCACTCCCCTGTTCCTGGTTGGCTCACATTCTAATTTGCCCAGAGGTCAGAAAGTGGGAGTTCATTTTCTCCCCATCTGGCTCACGGATCCTCCAAAGCGCCAGCCTTTGAACACCAAGGCAAACTGTAGCATGCTCAGACCACAGTGCCTCATCAAGTTCTGCAAGGAGAACGACGAGAGGAGGAGGAGCGGAGGGTGAGAGCACTGCAAACAAGCCACGCTCGTGCACAACACTGGGAAACCTGCTTTAATTGGTTTTTCTGAGATCCGAAGACAGCCCAAGATTGGGAGTCAAACTACAAACTGTATGATAACGATGCCCTAATGGCCTTTTTTAAACAACAAAAGCCACTTCGGGAGGAGATTACTGGAAGCAGAGAAACAGCAGAGGGGAGGTGGTCAACAGACCCTCCCCTATAGTTTCTCTGTTCCTAAACGTCTCATCCCTAAACAGCTTTTTCAGTTTTTCAAAAAGAAAAGGCCATCAGGTTTCCATTACACAAACATGCTCGCTAAGTACAGTTTGTCTCTAAATGGGGTGGATGCATGAGTCGGGGTTACAACACGCTTTTGGCTACTGTTCTTGTAAAAGTGATGGGACCAAGTGAATCACTTTAGAAAGTCACCAAGCACTATGGTTAAGTGTCCCGCATGTACCCCATTCCCTGCAGCTCTCTTGACGTGTTAGCTGGCTTAGACATTATGTCTGTTTTCACCCTCAGTCCTGATGAACACGAGAGAATTTAGCAATAGAATTTAAGATTCTTGTCCAATAAATGTTGAAGAACAAAGAGTTCAGCCTGTAATGTTCTTGAATTCCACTCCAGAACTATGATGAAATTCCACCAATGAGCCTATGCAATATTAAATCCCATCAGGTTCAGTAGGATCGAGGGTGAAAACAGACTTAAAATATTTATTTATTTTGAGGGTTTTTTTTAAAAAAAACCCCAAAATAAAAGCGGGCTCAGGGTGGATCACAAGAAATTGAGTTCGACTCATTACAATAGTCACATTAAAATCATTAAAACAATAAAATCGCACAGGTAGCGACAATTTCATATACATCTGTTAGGGCCTCAAGGTGGAATCAAATATGCGTGGGAAGCGGTTCTGGCTGGAACACACACTATCAGCCCTGACAACACATGCCTCCAAAGGCCATTAACATTATAGCCAAACCACAACCAAACGCAAGTGGCAATCCTAGACACATTTATCCAGTTAATACTGAACATAGCAGGACTTACTTCCTATTAAATATGTGCTGTGAATTTTCACCCCCCTTCCAAGGAAAGGTACACACGGACAGCACCCTCAGTATGCATTCTCTTCCTTCATACGGAAAGGAGGAGAAAGCCCTAACTCATGAAGGCTTTGTGTGAGAAAAGAACCCTTTTACACTATACTGTGCTTCATTTGTTGGTCTCTTGTAGCTTACTCCTGTTTTGGGGAAAGGGGGAGGAGGAAATAGAGTTGAATGTAAATAAGAAGGAGATGGGGGGGGAAAGCTCTGACAAGGAAGGGTCGTTATCCCCCTCAAATGTTACTTGAAATATCTGGGAATGTGTCATGAAGGGTGCTTCGGCAGATATTCTGGTAAGGCAGCAGGGCAAGGGATGACAAAAATGGCACACATCCTGCCATTAAGTGCTAATCAATCAAGCAGTGTACATGGAAGTGTGAGCCATTGCTAATTGTTTTCCGTACCACAGACTGTCTCCTTACCTTTAAAATCCGCTCTCCTAGAACTCTTTATCATTTCCTTGCACTTCATTTCCTCTTCGTGGATTTCCAGCTGAAGTCTGCATTCCGGGTGAATACCATTTACCTGTTAAATCAACAAAGGATCTGGTCTTAAAACGTAGGCTTGACGGCAAAGGATGCAACTTCCAATTACAAAACCTAATTCTTTTTTTTAACTACGGTCATAAAACTAAATGTTTCAAAAACTCTGAAGGACTCTGTAAAGCATCATGACACATTTATTCCACATTTCCTCCAAGCAGCACATAAAGTTCTTCCTCCATTTGATCTTTACAACAACCCTGTGATGCAGGTTGTGCTGAGAGCATGTGACCGGTCCAAGGTCACCCAGCGAGCTTTAAGGCTGTGTGGTCTGAACATGCGTCTCTGTTACCAAACCCCCACAACCACGTGAATATTACTTTCAGATCAACATGGGGAGTTAGCTTTGCGTGTGTGTGTCAGGCCCAGAAAACTGAGATCTTTTACCTAAAGAGGTGGCTGTAGCAAGTTTTCAGTAGGAAAAGGGTGACAGAGACCCGATTTTAAAAGGAATACAGAGCTTATTCAGGGACTTGGTATAATACTGTGGGTGGGTAGGTAACCCTAAGCAGTACTAAATCAAAACACAGACACATTCCCTATCCTAATTAATACAGCAATAACAACCACCAAATATTCAGCAGAGCTACTTCAAACTGGAGCAGGAATTACTCCTTGAGCTAAAAGTTTGGGAAATGGGGGGGGGGGATAAATCAAAAGGGATAGAAACGATTACTTGTCCTATTCTGTGAAGAAATAAGATGGAAGGAGGAGGGATCCAGTGTATGTGTTGGGAGTCTGTTGCAGTTCTGTTGGTATCCAGGATCAGACTCTAATTACTGGCTCTAAAGCCTGGGCAGTTATACTGTTTTTTGGCCCACAGCATAAAATGGGTTCTTTTCAAGAAACAAACGATTACAACAGAAGATAACCGGATACTTGAGTTGGGCAGCTTATCTGGAGAAAAGTACAGAACTGACTAGATAGCACCAGGGAAGGGGAACAGGAAGGGAAGTTCTTAATTATAATTCAGGATTACAAAGCTGGAGACATGAAGCTGATTCATGTATTCAGTGAGAGCTTTGGGGAGAATGGGAAGATTTGGAGGCTCCAAACTGTCACAGGGCACTTTACGTTCAAATTGTGTTAATGGTCAGTGACTGCATATCATGTAAAAGACAATACGGGAAGAGGCGTGGCTTAATTGCTGCCAAACTGTTGGCACTCCCTGATTTGTCCAAGAAAGGCCTCCTTGGAGCCATTTGCTGTGGCCGTCCCAAGATCCTCTGCTGCGTTCACCACTGCAAGGTTCTCTGGGAGACACAAAACATGGCAGTTGCTCCCCATGTTGTGTGCCTCGTAAGACTTGATCATGGCGTTGCAGAGGAAAGTGGGGGAACTACGAACATCTCCAAAGTCTTAACCCAACGTCCTGCCCACTGCACAATGCTGATTACAACAGAAGATAACCGGATACTTGAGTTGGGCAGCTTATCTGGAGAAAAGTACAGAACTGACTAGATAGCACCAGGGAAGGGGAACAGGAAGGGAAGTTCTTAATTATAATTCAGGATTACAAAGCTGGAGACATGAAGCTGAGTCATGTATTCAGCGAGAACTTTGGAGAGAACGGGAAGATTTGGAGGCTCCAAACTGTCACAGGGCACTTTATGTTCAAATTGTGTTAATGGTCAGTGACTGCATATCACGTAAAAGACAAGACGAGAAGAGGCGTGGCTTAATTGCTGCCAAACTGTTGGCACTCCCTGATTTGTCCAAGAAAGGCCTCCTTGGGGCCATTTGCTGTGGCCGTCCCAAGATCCTCTGCTGCGTTCACCACTGCAAGGTTCTCTGGGAGACACAAAACATGGCAGTTGCTCCCCATGTTGTGTGCCTCGTAAGACTTGATCATGGCGTTGCAGAGGAAAGTGGGGGAACTACGAACATCTCCAAAGTCTTAACCCAACGTCCTGCCCACTGCACAATGCTGGTTCTTAAGCACTTCACACCCAGGACTACTTTGTTGCTAAAGTGCTCAGCATTTGTTAATCAGTTTGGTATTTATTCCCACTTATTTGAATGGGAAGCCCTTTTCCAAGTGGGACGTTCCTTTCCTTCTGACATTTGGAAGCGGATGACAGAGGGGGCAGGGCTGGTTCACAGCATCGCAGTAACAGTTGCCAACTCTGACTTTAACGGGAGGTGAAGGTTCACATTATTATCGTTTAGCAGGAACAAGAAGAGTGATGTAGGAGTCCCCCCCTCCCCATGTTGTACACCGGCTCCATCCGTACCACAGGGAGCTCTGACGCTCGAAAGCTTTTAACAGGGGTGTCGCTCTTTTGTTATGAGGGCTGGAACTGACACTCCCCCCAGCAGTCTCCTGTTCCCTGCCTTCCACTAGTTGCTTGCAGGCCGCATAAGAGCCCTGGATGGGCTGGTTCTAGCCCCACAGAGGGGCCAGGGCTGGTTCACGGCTTGAGGCATCGCAGTAACGGTTGCCAACTCTGACTTTAACAGGAGGTGAAGGTTCACATTATTATCGTTTAGCAGGAACAAGAAGAGTGATGTAAGAGTCCCCCCCCCATGTTGTACACCGGCTCCATCCGTACCACAGGGAGCTCTGACGCTCGAATGCTTTTAACAGGGGTGTCGGACTCATTCGTTACGAGGGCTGGATCTGACATAGATGTCACCTTGTCGGGCTGGGCCACGTGTGCCATAAATGTAACGCCAGGTACCAGAGATATAAACTGAATAAAGGACAGCAGCTGGTAAGCTCCAAGTTGGTGTATCCTCACTGCAAGACCTCATAGGCTGGGACGGGGGTGCAAAGGAAACCCACATGGGCAGACTGGGGAGCCAGCGGTGCAGCACTGGGCAGATGCTCCCACACTGCTTGACTGCGGCAGACGAGGTTGTTCCGCCATGCTGAAGCCACAATCAGGCTGGCTCCCCCCACTCCCCCCAGCAGTCTCCTGTTCCCTGCCTTCCACTAGTTGCTTGCGGACAGCATAAGAGCCCTGGATGGGCTGGTTCCAGCCCCCGGGCCTTATATTTGACACCCCTGGCTTATGACCAAAAGAATTCTTGTTGGTCTCTAAGGTGCTACTGGACTCATATCTAGCTGTTCTCTTGCAGACCAACAGGTCTGCCCTCTGAAACTGTCGTCCAAGAGACAGACAGCCCCAGCACACAAGCACCAAAAGTTACCTGGTCTGCTGCTCCCGCTCCTTTGTTCTGAGGAAATACTTCCCCATCTGTGGGAGACTGTGTATGTGGTGGATCTCCTGATGGCACCTGGTATTTTTGGCCACAGTGTGACACAGAGTATTGGACTGGATAGGCCATTGGCCTGATCCAACATTGGCTCCTCTTATGTTCTCACGTTCTTGTGTGTGTATAAAGTGCCGTCAAGTTGCAGTCGACGTCAGGCAAGAGATGAACAGAGGTGGTTTGTCACTGCCTGTCTCTGCATAGTGACCCTGAAATTCCTTGGTGGTCTCCCAGCTTAGCTTTCAAGATCTGATGCAACTGGACTAGCCTGGGCCATCCAGGGAGACTGGCTGGTATACTCTTTTTAAAGTTTTAGTTCAAGTCTCTGTTCTCTTCTCTTCCCCTCTGTCCTCCTGGGTCCACTGCTCTTCTAGGTCTCATTTTTAAATTGTGAGATTTTTTTAGAAGGGTTAAAGTCATCGTTTTGGGAACCTCACTCCATTGGCAGGATTCAAATAAAACAGAGTAAATAAACAATGAAAGAAACAGCTGCCTCATTCATAAATAAGACAAGACTCATCACTCATTTTATTCAGAGAATTTATACCCTTGCCTTTGCGCCAATATTCTGCACTCAGTGTTTTCCTGACAGGGTGAGGAGGTGCTGGGGAAAAATTCCACATACAGCGATTCCTGTGTGCCAGGCTGCTATTAACAAAGAACAAGAGTCGGAACCCTAAAATCCACAAGAGGAGGTATGATCACTGTTATTGTGACCAGATCTCTGAAGATATCAGCAAATGCAGAAGCAATTGTCCTATTGCTTCCAACTTGCAAGGGAGCTCACCTTTGCAGTGGCACGCTGAATGGGGAGACAGACCCGTGGGTTGGGGCCCATTTGGTAGCCAGCACATCACTGCTGCAGAGCTCTAGTAAGCCTAATACTGATTTGGTCATGTGAACAATCCCTATTATGTAGGATATCAGTCAGGGTGATTCTCCGCCACATGCATCTAACACAGGTGCTCGGTGCTCAGCCCTGCGCATAGGATGGCCTGATTCATACAGTTCTTTTTCCTCAGGAAGAAAAAAATCAGGGGCATAGGCAAAGATTGCTAGAATTGGGCTGTTGCGTGTACAGGCTAGGCTTGCCAGTCCCCAGGTCAGGACGGGGGTTCTTGCCGTTTTTGGGGCTTCTCCCCGCCCCCATACAGCCACATTCCCACGTGACTTCCCCAATGTGATGGCGCCACCCAGAAGTGACATCATCATGCCAGGGACGTCACGCGGGGATGCTCTGGTTTAAGGGCACAACTCTATGGTTTTAAGCCGGTTTTAAATCAAGAACCACAAGGGTAAGAAAGAAGTCTAACAAAGGGCCAATATTAAAAACCTAGTTTAAACTTATAATATGCAAAAATACATGTATTTATTAGAAAGGCAGTTAAAAACAAATAAGGGCCCAATGAAAGCCTCGCTGAAAAGTTCAAGTGGCCTGAACACAGGGGGTAATACAACTTTTCAACAAGGCTTTCATTGGGCCTTTATTTGTTTTTAACTGCCTTTCTAATACATACATGTATTTTTGTATATTATAAGTTTAAACTAGGTTTTTAATACTGGCCCTTTATTAGACTTCTTTCTTACCCTTGTGGTTCTTGATTCCAGTTTTTGGGTCACGTTTGTTTCCCCCTCCCTGTGTCTTACTTTTAAGCCAGTTTTACCATAGAGTTTTGCCCTTAAACCAGAGCATCCCTCCATGATACCCCAGGCACAATGACATCACTTCCTGGTGACATCATCACATTGGGGACATCCCAGAATGCC